CTAGAGGGAGCTCAGCCCTGCTGAACCTTGATTTTGAACTTCTAGCCTCTAGAACTGTGAGAGAATAAATTTCTGTTGTTTCAAGCCAGCAGGCTTGGGGTTGTTTGTTACAGCAGCCCTAGGACACTAATATAAGTCACAGAGGCCCCATCAGAGGCCTCCAGTGATCTTCCAGGCTGTTGTAAGGACTTAGTTTTGACTCCCCAGATGGGAAGTCAAGGGAGGATTTTGAGTAGAGAAGTGACACAATCTGACTCATTTTGTAACAGAACTGTTCTGGCTGCTCTTAATTGAATAAATTATATAGTTCTGAGTTTCTTGATTTTTTTTTTTTTGGTAACCAAACTGCAATTTGTCTTCTAGTTCTTTAAAAAAATATATATGAATGTTAAAAATAAAAAATAAGAATGGAATAGATTCTAAATTAATAAACATTTAACAAAACAATAAAAACAAGCATTTAAAAGCTAGCCCGAATGACAAAAGCCAGCCAAGGAGTCTCTCCCAGCTTTACCCTCTGGTGCCAGGTTTTGATCATCAAAATGTTCGTGGTGCTGGTGGTGGATCAGCTCCCTCATCAGGATGGCAAAGCTGTAAACGTCTCCCTTCAGGGTGCCCGACAGGGGCACCTCTGGGAGCCGACCAGCAGAGCCCTGCAAAGCCGAGGATGTCAAACGGCAGAGCTGCCGGGTGGAACTGGAAAAGCCGCTCCTTTTTTCTCAGGGAAGCACAGGAGCAGTGAAAGCATCCAGCCCCTGAGAAGTCAGCCCTGATGGTTCTAGACTTTCTCCATATTCACACGCTTGGGGGTCCGTGTGTGTGACTATGGAGGAAATAATCAGGATGATCCTGCACTAACATGTTAACAGCAGTTAACTCACAACCGTGCAATTACAGGTGGCTTTCCTTTTCATTTTCCCTTTCTATATGGCCTACAGTAAAAAAATAATTTAACAATTCATAGAACATAAAACTAACCACTTGAAAGCGAACAATCCAGTGGCCTTTAGTACACTGGCAATGTTGTACAACCACCACCTCGACCTAGTTCCAAAACATTTCTAACACCCCAAAGTAAAACCTTGAGCCCGTTAAGCAGTTTATCCCCATTTCCCCCACCTCCCATGTCCTGCCAACCACCAATCTGTATTCTGTCTCTACAGATGTATGTATTCTGATATTTTATAAACCTACATTTCTTTGGGAGTGAGGTTTATAGGTTTATATCATTATAGGTTATAATCATGAAAAGAAAATATATTGGGGGATGGAGAGATAGAAGTGGCTGCTAGCAGGTTTTCAAAATTTCCCCCTTTTGCCTTTCTCTGCAAGATACCATCCTGCCCCCATATTATAGAAACCTCCCCATGTACACACAGCAAAGCTGCTGGGAGTGTGCTGCTTCAGAGACAGGCAGTCAAGGTGGAGGGCACTGGGCTCACCAGGGCCCAGGACAGTGCAAGGTGAGACTCAGGTGTGTTCAGTAACTTGGACAAGTAGGAAGAGTCGCAGAGTCTCAATTCGTGCACATGTAAAAGAGGGTTGGACTCCGGGCAGTGGGTCTGATCTTGAGATGCCCATCAGAATCACTTGAGAGGCTTTTAGAAAACAATACAAGGACTTCCCTGGTGGTCCAGTGGCTAAGACTCCACGCTCCCAATGCAGGGGACCCGGGTTCGATCCCTGGTCAGGGAACTAGATCCCGCATGCACGCCGCATCTAAGAGCTTGCGTGCCTCAACTGAGAGTCCGCATGCTGCAACTAAGACCCAGTGTGGCCAAATAAATAAGTAAACAAACAAACAAATAAATAAATAAAATACTGATGCCCAGACCCCTTCTTCATAAATTCTGATTCAGTTGGCATGGGGTGGGACCCAGCCCCCTTGCATATTTTTTAAAGCTTCTCAAGTGATACCAGAGCGTGGAGAGGTTGGAGAACTACTGAGCTCATCATCTGTAAGGTGCCTGGCAGGTCGCGCCTTCTCCGCTGAGAACACAGGATGAAGACGCAAGGAGACACGGAGGACTGAAGAGAAGGGCAGTGACTCGCTTCAGGTCACCCAGCTAAGCCAGGGTGGGAACTAGTCTCCTAACTCAGACACCCCACCATGGACTCGTGCCACTCGTGGGTGTTATTTTTTTCTCATCTCCTTGGGTGGCTGGAATAACCACATACCATCAGCCCCAGAGGAAGGCCCACCTGCAGGTACCCGTGCACGTGAGCCTCAGAAAGCAGAGGTGGGATAAGGAGCCCTTTACCCCTCTCCTGACAGCTAGTGGGTGCAAGATCTGCCAACGGTTACCCGAGCGGTCCATCGTTCTCTCGTTATATCTTCTGTACGTCTGGCCATATTTGAGCTCCCACAGCCCAAATCCTGACAGCTTCACCTGCATCCATCTGTCCACCAGGCAGTTGGAAGCCTTCAGGTTGCCAAGGGATCCCAGTGGGCTCCTGTGGAGGAACAGCAAGCCCTGAAGAGTGGAAATGAGCAAATGAATCAGAGCAGGTGCCAGCGGACGCTGCTGGAAGAAACAGAGACACAGAGGCAGATGGACAGAAACAGACAGACCCATGGCGGGAGACATGCCCATCTTCACGTTCATTTGTTCAAGAGCCACTAACACAGCCCTGCGCCCAGGGGGTCACCCTGGGCAGGAACACCCAAAAAGGAGAAAACTATTTCTGGCCCCTCCATGTGGAGCCACAAATGCAAGGCCAGCTTAAAATAAATGTAGCCTCGTGGTCAGACTCCGGGGTTCAAATCCCAGCTCTACTACACAGTAGAGGGCAAGTTACTTTTCCCTGTAAACCTTGTCTTCTTGTCAAAATGGAGATGACGATAATCCCTCTCAGGGTGGCTATGGAGATTAAATGTAATAATACATGCGAACCACCAGACATGGTGCCTGACACAAAGTAAAGATTGCTACAAATTATAATGAAAAATTTGTATGAATGTAATAAAGGATATCAACAATCTAGAAACAACACTATGCAATTAAAAATATTATTTTATTACCTACATATTGAGGATTATATTCCATTACTATCTACATATAATAGTATGTAGAATATTATATTTATTACATGCACTTAAGGGTCCTGTTTGAGCACTTCACAGGGAGAGGCAATGAAATGAGGAACATTGAAAAATTCTCATGTCATTCACTGTGTTCTTAAGAGGTTACGTCAATTATTTGTATGCAGTAATGAAGCACTATTATTTATAAAGAGGACAGAACAAACTCTAGAGTCAGAAGATGTGCTCAAGGCTAGAGTTTACCAGTCAGTCTCTTCAAACAAATCACCTGGGGGCCTCAATTTCACCATCTGTGAAATGGGTCTGCCTTAGACGCCTGCTACTTGAAAGATGTCCCAGGGAACAGCAGCAGCAGCATCACCTGGGAGCTTGGCAGAAATACAGAATCTCAGGCGCTGCCCAGACCTACTGGATCAGACTGTGCATTTTAACCCGGTCCCCAGGAAATGCGTGTGCTTCTTAGTCTGAGAAGACCTGTCCTTGTCAATTGTTCCCAGCCTTGGCTGCACATTAAAATCACCTGGGGAGCTTAAAAAGAATATATCAATGCTAGGGCCCAGATATACCTTTGTGTGCAGATTACCTCTCACACAAACCAAGCCTGCGTGCGGAGGTGAGTGATCAGAATGGAGGAAGAGGGCTTAATCTGAAGGCTGGCTGAGGGAGCTCCGTCCTCAAGGCAGGGATGATTCTTATTTAGCAAGGAGATGAGGGCAGGGAGTGGGGATCTCTCACAATGAAGGAACTCAGGGTTTTAAACTGCTCCCAGGGAGTGGGGACAGAGCTGGGAGACAAACCCAGATCCAGTTGCCTTTGAAGCCCAGCCACTTCTAAACCACTAGTTGTACTGTTTCTGGTGCCCTGGGTGACTGTAAGAGGAAGGTGGGGGAGGAAGAGGGTAGGTAGAAGCGTACCTATTCTTCTGGCACCATTGCCAGGTTAAATGAATCACAAGTCCAGCCTGAGTCACACAGTGTGGTTACGAGAAGTCACCGGCCCTCAGTGCCCAGCAAGGAGGAATGTGAGGAGAGCCCCTGAATGGACTATTGCACCCAGAGACTGGGTCCTTGGGCCTCCTGGGCACTGGCTCTGGGACTCACCTCTTCCTCCAGCAGTGACGACAGGCTGAATCATTGTCGGCTTTAGCAAGAACCCTGAGCTAATATTGCATTAGAAATACAGGCTAATACAGAAAGCAATAAGGAAACATTCAGGACAGTGGGTACACCACTCCCACCTCACCCCCTAAAAAATCAGGAGGCCGTGTTCCTTTATCAATCTGTGTATTTGTTTTTGAGGTGACAAAGCTGAGTCACATTTTGGAAACACAACTCACTTAACCAGACAGGAAGGACCTGGGTGGGGCTCCCTCTGGAATGTTTCCAGCAAGGTTCCAACAGGCTGAGAGGTCTGGTCTTGAAATCTGGGGAGACCTGTGTCCAAGCCAGAGTTCTCTCTGACCTCTTGGAGACCTTTCCATTCCACAGGACTCTCCCTGACACACACGACTGTCCCTGCCCCTGCTAGTGCCAGTCCCACCCGGGCATGAGACGTTCCACATTCTGGTCGCTGCTGACCACCCCTGACATCCAGGTATATTAGCGGAGCTCCTTCCATTAGGACAAAAATAACATGTTTCAGGATGCTTGGAATCCTAGGAATGTAGTCCTCTGCAAGAGATGGCACACATCTCTTTGTGTTTTTTTGTTTGTTTGTTTGTTTGGGGTTTTATTTTTTGCAGTACACGGGCCTCTCACTGTTGTGGCCTCTCCCGTTGCAGAGCACAGGCTCTGGACGCGCAGGCTCAGCGGCCATGGCTCACGGGCCCAGCCGCTCTGTGGCACGTGGGATCTTCCCGGACCGGGGCATGAACCCGTGTCCCCTGCATCGGCAGGCGGACTCTGAACCACTGCGCCACCAGGGAAGCCCCATCTCTTTGTTTTGTTCTATTATATTTTTCTATCTTGATGGAAATGTCTGACTTTATGTATTCTGTTGTCTGAGAACAAATAGAACCATTAGAGGCTCACCAGTTCTATTACCTACGTGTCTGAAGCTACATTTGTTTTCCTGCTGGAAAGTTGAGGCTGGCCCACAGAGCTCCTACCTCTGGATCCCATATCTGTGCTCTCTGGTACTTCCAGGGAAGAAAGAATTCAGCTTTTGGAGACAGACTGGCTGCAAATCCCAATCAGCCTCTTACCAGTTAGGCTGGTTACTTCACCTCACTAAGCCTCTTTTTTTTCCCCTTTTGAAAAGGGAGTAAGAATTCATACTATTAATATTGGAGATAAGGATAAATTAACAACGGAGTTAATTGCTAATTATTAAGAGCACTGTCCAATAGAAATACAATGTAAGCACATGTATAATGTTTAATTTTTAGTTCAACAGGTGAAATTACTTTTAATAATATATTTTATATAACCCAATGTATTAAAAATCTTATTTCAACATGTAATCAACCTGAAAGTATTAGTGAGATATTTTACATTCCTTTTTTTTTTAATCTTCATAAGCTGTCATGGATTTTATACTTATAGCACATCTCAATTTGGACTAGCCACATGGTCAGTGTTCAGTAGTCACATGTGGCCGGTGGTACCATATTTGGACAGTGCAGGCTTACTCCATAAGATTGTTGGGTGAATAAATAAGGAAGTGTGTGGTTTTTAGTACTAGAAACTGGGTTTTCTGGGATAGTAGTAACACTATACTCCTGCTAATACTAACAATTAACATTTACTAGATACCTGTTATGGGGTAGACATGGTGCTAAGCAACTTACATACCTTAGTCCTCACAACAACCCCACGAGGCAGGTACTATTGTTATCTTCATTTTACACACAGGGACACTAGGGGTCAGGGTAGTTAACGTCACCTGGTCAGTACATGGCAGAGCCAGGGTTTAAATCACCAATACAACTTGCACGCCAGACGGTCCTTCATCCTCTTAATCTATTAAGACTTCTCTCACTTAGAAACAAAGGCCCCTCCCTAACTCAAGAAGAGTATTATACTCTCCAAAGCTCCTTCCCAAGCTGGCCCCACTGGATTCAACTCCTTGGGGATAGGACAATAAGACTTATTCCTCTGTGCCCACCATGCCCAGAATCCTGTTTGACCCAATTAGGTAGATAGGCTCAGATACTTTCTAGCACAACAAAATATAAGGTAGCTCTATTATTATCCCTATTTCACACATGGGAAATGAGTCGGGTGGGCCATGTCGGTATGGACCAGCATTCTGAGGATGCTCTCCTCAGCCTGGGCTAAAATCCAGCTGCTCTTTCTAGGCTCACCACATCTGCTGTTACCAGTAGAGGGGAAGTAATTGGCCACAGTCATTCAAGGAGTCACTGGCCCTAAAACCTAGGAGGGCAGAGTTTACATTTCACCCATGTATCCCTCACAGCACCCAGGCAGGGTCTTGCCCATAGGAGTCTGTCAGTTGATGGATGGGAATGTTGATTGATGGACGGACTGTTGATTGACAGATGACAACCAGCCTTGTCCTGCTGCCATGTGTCAGAGTGAGTGACTTCCCCACCAGGACCCATTCCCAGGTCATTAGCTTGGTCCCCTCAAGAACACTAGTAGCATTTGTTCTTTACACGGGTTTATGTGATACTCAACGTTGACTCTGTCATATGCAAATGAGAGCTTGAATATCCAATCAATTTCATTGCCTGAGTTTCTTAAAACATCCTAGAAAACACAATTACTTGAAACATCACCAGTGACTCACCCAGAAGCACAGTGATCTTCGCGGGTTCAGTGGATTTGATACTAATGCTTTGGATGATGTTGAGCAGAAATGATACAACCTGAGGCAGAGAACTCTAAGTCTAGTAACCGGAACTCTTCTTGGAAGAAACCATAACCTGACTCAATATTGAGAAAGTTACGCAGTCTTGAGTTTTATAGATACCTCCTTGTTCCTGACATAAAGCTGGTGGTCACATACCACGGGAAAGATGGGCCCAGGAACACAATTCAGATGTAGATATGACATCTTAGGAGATGAAACCAAGCTCAGACAATTTCCCAGAACAAAGAGACCAGACACTTGGCAACTGCGCTGCTAATTTCATCCCCTGCAGGCAGCCCAGCAAGATAATTCAGGTCTTGAAATTAAACCAAAGAGGAGCTGTTCTTGGATGAAGGGGCAAAAGCATTGATAAGCTTCTTTATTAGCTGCCACTAATCAAACCTGAGGTAAGATTTACTAGTTTACTTACCTTAAGGCTTCCTCTTTTGCAATATTGGGTGACAATGCAGATGTTGGGTGATTCTGTGCAAATACCAAAGAAGGGAACAATGTTTTCATGCCTTAATTCATACATCTGAAAATAATAATGGTAATAATAGCTTATGATTATAATGTGTCTTCTGCCCTAGGGACAATGCTGGGTGCTTTACACACGTTCAGCTATTTTTCACAAAGACCCTGTGAGATAAGAACTATGACTTCTCCCATTTTACAGATGAGGAAACTGATCCTCAAAAGATAAATTAATGTGTTAAAGATCATACAACTTAGTAGTGGCTGAGCTGGGAGGTAAATCCAGGCAGTCTGCCTCCAGCAAATAAACCAGAGGCACGATCAAAGTCCCCCAGAGTAACGGGGATTAACTGAAGAAGTGGACCCCATGAACCTGACTCCCCTGCAAGGACCAGCTTCGAGGGAGACAGATACAGACACAAAGACTGAAGAGACAGAATTAAGGCCAGGAAGAATTAAAGGCAAAGAACAGGCTAGGAGAGCTCCCAGGATGCAGGTGCCTGGGTCAGGCATAAGGGTCTGAGGTCTAAAGTCTGGGCTCTTGGGGGGTGGGGGTCATGGGCCAAGTTAAGGGAAGCAGCTTCCCACCATTGCCCTTTGGGGTGAAGGCCACCAGCACCCCAGGTGGGAACAGGGAGCTGGCAGAGGCAAGGCAGAGGGCAGCAAGGCTTTGCCTCCTCCCAGGGCTGGGGGCCTCACCAGCCGGATTTCCTGCAGCACAGACGGCTTCCTGACCCAGGCTCGCGCTTGGTCACCAACATCACAGATGGCCACATGGTTTCCCTGGAACCGGAGACAAAGCGGAATGTTCTTTTTTTTTTTTTTTAACATCATTATTGGAGTATAATTGCTTTACAATGGTGTGTTAGTTTCTGCTTTATAACAAAGTGAATCAGTTATACATATGTTCCCATATCTCTTCCCTCTTGCGTCTCCCTCCCTCCCACCCTCCCTATCCCAGCCCTCCAGGCGGTCACAAAGCACCGAGCTGATCTCCCAAAGCGGAATGTTCTTCACCCAGGCTGATCCAGAAAAAAACTATGCTCAGAAAGAGCTAGGAAGGGGGGCAGGAAGACTGGCAAGAAACCCACCTACAGAAGGGATCATTGAGCTCCTCCCTGCTCAAATCAGCCCTCGGGTGGCCCCGTGCTGTGTCCGGGAGCTGAGCTAGCTGCTCAACACAGGAGACCTCATTTAACAGGCAGTACAGCCCTGCAAGGCGGGGTGGGGGGTGGGGGGGTGATTAGCCCATTTCCAGGTGGGATCCCTGAGTTTAGGGAACTAGTTCAAGGTCACACATCTGCCCTCTGAATTACCCGGCAAAGCCCTACTGGGGCATAAAATAGCTCTCTGCCCTGCTGGTTCTCAACAAAGGAGCTGAAGTCCCCACAAATCATCACACTAGATGAGTTACTGTTGTTCCCTCTCGACACAGGTGTGCCTCTCTGGGATGGCTGCAAAACAGGACACGATTCAGCTGCTCTCAGTAGGATGACCAAGTACTGATGAGACTATGCCTTATATAGATGAGGAAAATTAGCGCCAAGGTTAATAGCAGTTAGTAAATGAGAGTCAGGACTCAAACCCTGATTTCTCTAACCCAAAGTGTGAGTGCTGAA